GATACCATTAATTTGGTGCAAGGGTAAACACACCAAATCCATCACGAAACTCTTCCCAAAAACAGCTAAGGGACAACCCGAACACACAAAAGTAGTAGTAACAGAACCATTAACATGAGTTTCTATCACCATACTACCATTCATATCAGAAAATTTCAAACCAAACATAGTAGCACATTCAAGGGAAATAAACGAATGAGTAGCACCAGTATCAATAATAGCAACCAACTCCGTATTGTTAATAAAAGAAGTACCTCGAATCAAGTTATCCTTCTTAGGAACTTCTGAACCTCTCAAAGCAAACACTCTACCATTAATCTGAGCAGCAGTAGCAGTCTTCTTTGCCTTCTGACATTGGGTACTGATGTGACCCTGTTCACCGCAATTGAAACAAGTCGGCCCCTCATTCTTGCAATCAATGACTCGATGACCTCTCTTACCGCATCTATAACATCTCAGCACATTATTGTTGCAACCATCTGCACGATGATCTTGCTCGACACACCTGTAACACTTAACAGAAGCGGGAGCTGCTCCCCCACTTGTCTTCTTCTCATATGAAGCCTTCTACTTCCGTTTGTCAGCTAAAATTACATAAGATTTTTCTAGAAATTGTCCTTTCTCTTTATATGATCCAAATCCATTTTCAATCTCACTTTATTCCTATTTCTTTTAATAACTTTGATATTAAAATGTTAACTTTACAAATAAGCTTCATCTCCACCACATAAAAACTTAGCTCTATTAATCCAACATCCCATCATTTCAATAATCATATTCTTTAAAACTTTTATACAAACACAAATCATTTACTAATATTCATATTTACTAATATTAAAAATCATAAAAACTAATATTCAGATTTACTAATATTCCTTTTTTAATTACATCAAAATTAAACTAATTTTCAAAACTTTTTTTACTAAATATCAATATGTCAATCAATGATTACATTTATTTTTCACTAATTTTGACTTGTATTTAGCTTTATTTATTACAGTAAAAACATATTTTTCTCACACTGTTTTTGTTTCTCTCTTTAAGCTGTCTTATTCAGACCATAGCACGCAAATAAGAACAATTTCTGTAATTTTCAATTAACATTCGATCCGACCCACTTTTCACCTTCCTCCACCGAATCAAAAGTTCCTATCTTTTTGTCCTTTCACCTCAAATTTCAACGACTAACTCGTTTTTCAACTCACTGTGTCCGTGACGTGACTCAGTAATGGAAAAAATTATCATAGGAGCTGCTGCGGCTTTGACGGCGGCGTTGGCGGCTGCTGCGGTGGCGGGACATCATTTAAAAGTGACTGGAAAATGGGATCATGCTGAAAGTATTTTGAAGGTGTTTGGTGAAGAGTGTGGAACCCCAATTGAGAAACTTAGGAAGGTTGCTGAAGATATGGTTGTTGAAATGCATGCAGGTCTTGCTTCTGAAGGTGGTAGCAAGCTCAAGATGTTGATCTCTTATGTGGATAATCTTCCATCTGGGTTCTTTTCTTTTCTTTTGCTACATAAATTTCTAATTCACTCAATTTTTTGTGTTTTTGTTTTTGGATGCTTTTTGTTGAAGAGTTTATGAGTTTTTGTTCAATACTTGAGAATCAAGGTTTTTATGATGAATGAGTGAGTTTCTTTTGTAGATGACTTTTCTAATGATCATTATGCTGGTAGATAGCTATATGTGGAATTTTGTTTCTCTCACTTTCCAATAATTGTTTGTTGAATGGTCATTGTCAATGTTTCTAACTATGGTTTTTGTTGCTATTGATGCTTTATGTCATAATTCATGAAGCACGGATACGAATACAAGTATGATACAATACGATACGGCCTAGATAATTGAGTTTTGTGTTTTGGTTTTTGGATGTTTGTTGAATTACCTTGTCTTTAAGAGTTTAAGAATTTCTGTTCAATAATTGAGAATCAAGCTTTTTGTTGTTGATTGTTGTAATGATCATTATTGCTGGATAGCTCCATATGTGAATTTTTATTCCTCACTTTCCAACAATAGTTTGTTGGATAGTCTTTGTCAGTGTTTTAAATTGCGGCATGGATACGCGGATACGAGAAATTATTGACGTTGTGGCACTATTAATAGGGATGAGAAAGGACTCTTTTATGCATTGGATCTTGGTGGCACAAACTTCCGTGCCCTACGTGTGGAGTTAGGTGGAAAAGAGAAAGGTGTTGTCAACGTAGACTCTGAAGAAGTTTCGATTCCTCCTCATTTGATGACCGGTTCTTCACATGTAAGTCTGAAATGAGAAAATCTATCAAAGCATTGAGCCTGCTTAGTGCCTACAATACTCCTGAAACATGTTAATTTTTTCACTACAGGATTTATTTGATTTTATAGCGACGTCTCTTGCAAAGTTTGTTAGTTCTGAGCCTGAAGAGTTTCGTCCTCTTCCCGGAAGAAAAAGGGAATTGGGTTTTACGTTCTCGTTTCCAGTGAGGCAAACATCAATTTCATCTGGAACTCTAATAAAGTGGAGTAAGGGTTTCAGTATCGAAGATGTGGTAATTCTTGTTACCTTGGTTCTGTTATATTCAATTTTATTTGTTCCACCGTTCTTTCTTTATGTCATTTGTATCATATACTAATAAACACTTTCCATTATGGATTCTGTTTGGTTGTTTGTAGGTCGGAGAAGATATAGTCGGCGAACTAACCAAGTCATTGGAAAGAGTTGGCTTGGATATGCGCGTTGTAGCTCTAGTCAGTTCCTTTCTCCATTCTTCACAATTTCCTTATCTTTTACCCTATAATTTAGGTTTCGAGAATGATTTTAAGTTTGTGTCCGAAAGAAAATTTTGATTAATGATAGTTAATGTTTCGATGGGGGGTGTTGTAGATCAATGATACTGTTGGAACAGTAGCTAAAGCCAGATTCAGCAATAAGGATGTCATTGCCGGAGTAATTCTTGGTACTGGAACAAATGCAGCATATTTAGAGAATGTTACCGCAATTCCGAAATGGCAAGGTCTTTTACCAAAATCAGGAGAGATGGTAACTCGCATATGGATCATTTAGAAATTTTGATGATGTTAGAAAGCATGCTGATTATTGTTACTTCTATAGGTTATAAACATGGAGTGGGGTAATTTTTGTTCTTCCGATCTACCTCTAACAGAATATGATCGAGCTCTAGATGAAGTGAGCTTAAACCCTGGAGAACAGGTAATGGTTACCTATAGTTGCTTTTAACTAGTTATTGTTCATCTATGATATACTTTTACACTGTTATTTGCAGATTTTTGAAAAGATAATTTCCGGTATGTATTTGGGTGACATTGTAAGGAGAGTACTGCTGAAGATGGCTGAAAAAGCTGATTTTTTCGGAGATATTGTTCCTCACAAGTTGAGAATTCCTTTCATACTTAGGTATGACGATGATTTGTCCAACCTAATGCACTTTAATTCCTTTCATAACAACAATGCTGAATTCTAAGGACCTGTTTGGATTGGCTTATTTGAGCTTATCTACTAGTATAAATTTTGTGAGACCGTTGGGAGAACTTATAAAAACAGCTTATGACATTGTTCATAAGTTGTTTTAGACTTATTTTCAATAGTTCTCCAATATAACTTATGAAAACAATTTATAAGTTATACAGAAACTATTTAACTTTATTTTATCTTTTGCTATATAGAAATAGCTTATATGTAAATGCTTAACATAATAAGTGTTTGTGCTATAAGCCGCAAATAAGTTGTTTATTCATTACCCTTAACTCTTTGTATAGATCTTTAACATCTTTTTTACGGGATGTATAGGACACCTGACATGTCTGCTATGCATCACGATACATCTTCGGATCTAAGTGTGGTTGGGAAAAAACTGAGGGACATATTGGAGGTATGTCCGCTTCTTTGACCATGCGGAAAATACAAATATGCTTGTTGTTTTTCTAGAATTTGATAGAAAAGGTAGTAAATTTCGGTGAATCCGTTGTTTGTAATCTTTCATCACAAGTTAATTGTATTTCTCCTTCTCGAATGCTGTTCGGTTTGCTCATTGGTTTGCTTCATTTTTTAGATCGAAAACACATCCCTGAAAATGAGGAAGATTGTTGTGGAGCTTTGTGATATAGTTTCTGTTCGGGGGGCCCGCCTTGCTGCTGCTGGTATTTTCGGTATCCTAAGGAAACTGGGAAGAGACACCGTTAAAACCGGGGAGGAACAAAAATCAGTGATAGCATTGGATGGAGGATTGTTTGAACACTACATGAAATTCAGAACATGCATGGAGAATACACTAAAGGAGTTGTTGGGAGATGAAGCAGCCGAGACAATCGGCGTTGAACATTCCAACGACGGCTCTGGAATCGGAGCAGCCCTCCTTGCAGCTTCTCAGTCCCAATATTTGGGAGTGGAAGATTCCTAATGTTGCGATTAACGCCATTGCCAAAAGTAAACATGTGTAACACTAGTTTCTTTCTTCATACCAAATAGATCGATAGTTATCAGTCCTTCAGAGGGTTCAACTGGAGTGCGGCCGAAGCTCACTTTGAGGTTATCGGTGTGGCCAAGTCCAAGTGTTCTTGCTGCGACCTCACCGCTTCTTGACTAATTGCCAAGGCATTGTTTTGGTTATACAATGTTTGTACCTCCCACTTTAACAATAATAGGGGAGATGAAAACTTTTGAGAAGTCATATTTTGGTTTTACCAAATGTAACATGCTTACATTGAGAATAAATCAGGATTAACTTATTGGCAAAGGTTAAAGATTTTAATTCAAAGCTTGAGTTATCAATGAAGAGTTCCTTTTGATTATTATGATATATGTATTCCTTGGATTTATTTTCTTTGAAGTTTAAAGTGAATGATGCACTTTAAAAGAGGAAACATGGAACTATAACAGTTAGTCCAAAACTCAATTCCCTAGTTTGTTACAATGTGCATGTATTTTATCACTTTATCAAAGGTTACTTATATTCTAAAGTACACTTCCTAACTTTAGGGGAACTTAATGCAAACTTCTTAACTGTTATTCTGAATATTCCACCTGCTTTTCCCATCTCAAATTCTTAAGAAGTGGAGCATCATCATAAATATCAACAATCTTCTCTGCATTGGCTTGTGGATCTCTGCAACCGATCAATATCTTCAAGACTTCCTTCATTGATGGTCTACTAGCCGGCAGTGTTGAAGTGCACATAACCCCAAGTTTGAAGATATTGATCATTTCAATCAAGTTACTAGGTTCAGCAGCGTCTTCGTCCAGAAGCTCTTCTATATCGGTTCCTATCTGAATATGGCGCCACGCCCATTCTGCAAGCGACGAGTATTCGTCTCCATGATTAGCTTCTTTTCCAGTTGTCAGTTCCAATAGAACTACTCCAAAGCTGTAAACATCTATCTTCTCATTGACTCTAATTGTTTGAGCATATTCTGAAATTCATGCACGAAATAAACTTTGAGATTTAAAATAACTTAAGATAGTCGAATATTGTGAGAAAATGGGAAATTGAAATTGTTTTTACCTGGAGCAATATATCCAAATGTGCCAGCCACAGCTGACATGGTGGCAAGTTCTTCTGGCTTGATCAGTATCCTGGCGAGACCGAAATCAGCAACTTTTGCGTTGAATTGAGAATCCAAAAGAATGTTACTTGTTTTCACGTCTCGGTGAACAATAGGCGGGGAGCAATCGTTATGCATGTAGCACAAACCTTGTGCAGCTCCAATGGCTATATGCAATCTCTTAGGCCAATCAATGATGTTATGATGAACCGTACCGGACGCAACTGATGTCTTATTCTTTTTGTGCAGCCACCTATCAAGACTCTGATGTTCATGATACTCATATACAAGTAGTAGCGAATCATCACTTGAGATACAACACATCAACTTCACAATGTTGTTATGCCGGATCTTGCTAAGAATTTCAACCTCGGCAAGAAATGAATCCACAAGCTTCTGGTCTAACTTTCTGCTATTCCCCCTTATCTTTTTCACTGCAACATAACCTAAACCGTCGTCAAGAGCAACGCGATACACAGAGCCAAATCCACCGCTACCAATGATATTATCTTCTGACATCGACAACACAATGTTTGATTTTGTGAAACTGAGCCTCTGAAAAGAAGTTAGCTTCCATGTCCTTTTCAGTCCTCTCTTTCTTTTTCTGTAAAAACTGATAATCGAGAAAATCAACAAGAAAACAGTTAAAGAAGCGACTAACACCAAGATTATGATCATAGCCTTAGGCGTAGATGAATCACTTCTTCTCCTTGCAGTTCCAGAATTGCACAAAGTAAGGTTTAGTACTAATGTATCAGCACATAAACCAGAATTGTTCAGAAAGCTTCTGTCATACACAGGGTTTTCGAAATCACTCGGAATCCTCCCTGTGAAATAATTACAGGAAAGATTTAGATTTGTGAGTTTCATGAGTTGAGGTGGAATTCGGCCCGAGATTTCATTTTCTGATAAGTCCAACATGTTAAGAGATGGTAACCGACAAATTGCATCTGGTATTTCTCCAGTGAGTTGATTGTGGCTCAAGTCTAGACTTATTAGAGACTTCCATGATATTACATCCGATGGAATTCGACCAATGAATTTGTTATGATCGAGCAGAAGAGTTGTTAGCTGAGGAAGCGATGTTAACTCCGACGGAATACTTCCATTCAAAAAGTTGTTGCTAGCATTGAACACCACTACATTCTTCCAAGAAGAAACTCCATTTGGAATTCTACCAGAAAACTGATTGTAACTTAAGGAAATTCTGGAAAGACTCTGCGACAATCTTTCCGGAAGTTCACCGGTGAACTTGTTCTCACTTATCATAATTGTTGTCAAGTTCATAGATCTCCATAAACCATTAGGAATGTTACCAGAAAGCTCATTATTCTCAACTCTTAGAATTTGTAAACTGCTACAATTATCTAAAGATTTCGGCAACTCGCCGCTTAGACTATTGTCATAAGCAGTTAAACCAACAAACCTTCCATAATGACACAAATTCTGTGGTAGATTTCCTTTGAAACTATTAGATCCAATCTGAAAAGTTTCAAGTTTAGAAAACCGTCCAAAATCTTGAGGGAGATCACCAGATAAATTGTTCTGATAAACAATAAAATCAGTCAGAGCTGGCAGCCGACCGATGCTTACCGGAACCTCCCCGGATAATTGATTCACAAACAAACCCAAGGAGGTTAGCTTTACGAGGTTTCCAAAGCCATCTGGTATTTTACCAGTGAGATTATTCATCGAAAGATCCAAGTCTGTTAACTCGAACGCTTCAATCACATCCGGTATCTCTCCAGAAAGATTGTTCTTGTACAAATAAAGTATACTCAAATTTTTCAAAGTGAACAAACCATTTGGAATTTTTCCACTAAAAGAATTTCCTGATAAATCCAAATCCTCCAAAGCCACCATCTCACCAATTGTTTCAGGAATTTCACCAAACAAGTTGGAGTCATACATATGAAAGATCTTTAATTTCTTCAACTTTGTAAAACTAGATGGCAATTTTGTTCTAGGTAGCATACCATTAGAGAACAAAAACAATTTTTCAAGATTGAACAAATCACCAATTTCATCAGCAATGGTACCATTAAACAGACACTGATAAAGTTGAAGATTTTTCAAACTCTTCAACTTCCCAATACTCCTAGGAACATCACCTGAAAAGTTGTTTGCCCCGAGGCTAAGGAACTGCAGACGACCCAACCGATTGATATCGTTCGGTATGTTACCGACGAAGAGGTTCTGCGAGAGATCAAGGTACTCAAGCTTAGAGCAATTGTAAAGAAAAGTTGGAAACTCATAAGGAAAGTAATTGTATTGAAAATCAATGTGAGTGAGGTTTTTGAGGTCACAGAGAAAAGGTGGCAGTGTTTGGGTTATGTTTGTGTTAGTCATTGAAAGTGAAGTGATTGAGTCATTTTCACAAACAATTTCTGGCCATGAACAGTGTGAAGAAGTGTTTGATTTTGTCCAGTGAGTTAGAAATGGTGGATTTTGAAAGTGTTTTTTTATGTTCAATAGGATTTCATGTTCATGATTGTATAACTGAGAATGAGATTGAGAATTTGCATAGGTGAATAAGAAAATGAAAAGGAGAATGAACATTTTTGATGTTGTTATTTGTTTGTTTGTAGTTCACACACAACACAAATACATAACTATGAGATTCAATGAAGAGAAGAAGATAAATCTATATGTGAAAAGAATCTTTCACTAAACAAGTCAAAAAGCATTAAAGTTTCACATCATTTTAGTTTGACAAACTTTGATAGAATACAAATCTATTTTTGGTTCCATAAAAATTATATTTTAAATACAAAATCAAAATTAATATGAAAAGAGGTAGATTATTGAAAAAAGCAATGTTATGGTTTCTTTTAAAGCAACTACTGCTAGTAGTTTTTAGTAGTTGAATATGTGTTGAATAGATTAAAGTAAACAATGATTGGTTTCAACTTGATGGCTTGCTTTCAAAATTGGAGTTCCAATTTACTATTTGAAGCATGTGTTTGGAATTTAGAGGATTTGTGTCAGCAATTTCATGCATTTACTCCATTAGCATAGATTTAAATCAGTCCATGTCAAAGTGTATATTTGATTAGAGGTTTTCATGACATGAAATTCAAATCTAAGGCTCTAGAGCTCAATGAAGAAAAAATTAAATTGGATAATTAAATGAATTGAACTTGAATTATATATAATTTGATTTGTTAAAGTAATGAGTTAACCGACTTTAAGAGTATTTTTAAAATTTTACTTCAAATTTAAAACCTCTATTTTCTTTTAATATGACGGTTTTAATTGATTGTTTATATTTTGTGAATAGAATTTTTATAAAATCATTATACAAATAAAAATTAACGTCAGGTAAAAAAACTATATACAATAATCAAATATTAAACTTTTTAATTTAAATTTCTTTATCAAATAAAAGTATATATAATTTTTGAAAAAAAAAGTTTTAATCTTATAACTTTTATTTTTATTTAAATATTTTTTTAAAAAATATTAATTAAAATTTCTAATATACAAAAAAAAATATTTAAAAACATGATTTTAAAAGCAGAACAAACGAGTTGAATCTAACAAAATAAACTAAATTATTTATAATATCAAAATAAATCAAATTTGAGTTTAAAAAATTCAAATTAAACTCGAGTCAACTTTAAACTAAATTAATTTCTATTATATTGAGACGAGCTCAACTCGAATTTATTTATTTCTACCCTAATCTTAATCTTGCTCAACGGAAAAAAGAGTATCTACTTATTATTAGTTTGTTTTTAATGAAATACTAGTAGAAAACCCGTGCTTCCGCACGGGTAAACTAAATTTATAAATATATAGTTAATTTTGACAAATATATGTGTATTAGAGTTAAATGTAAGACAATGCAATTAAAGTGAAAGAAATATAAATTAAGAAAACAGAAGTTGAATATGAAACAACTAATATAACTAAATGAAATGGTAATGTTGTCAAAAAAGGAGTAAAGTAATAATATATAGTAAAAGAGAAGTAGTACAACAAAATGTCATGTAATCGACGTTGCAAAATATTGTGTCTGTTGGAGTTGATATCACAATGTTGACCTGTAAAAAAAAATAATTAGAGAACAATTGGATCATTTTTCGTAATGGAAACTTAACCAAAGAAAGAATATGATTGTTATACCTTCTAAATATTGTGGAAAACTTCTTTGAATACAACATTAGTGGTAGTAACAGCGGTATTTGTTATTTTTATCATGAATCAAAATTTTAAGACCTTGTTTTGTCTTTGAAATTCTGGTATGCAGATCACATGTGTTCCAAGAACATTGATCTCTGCTCAACAAGGATGAGGACAGACCATGGCCAATTTAAATTTCTTTAAATTGTCCCAATGTCATGACCAATGTCACGACTTCTGTTGTGACATCTGCAGTCTGTCATACTATTTATCTAACCATTTAAAGTACAGAATTGTAAATGCAGAAAGATAAATAACACAGTAATTGTTCACCCAGTTCGATATCAACAACACCTACATCTGGGGGCTACCAAGTCAGGGAGAAAATTCACTATTAGTAGAATCAATTTAAAGTCAAACCTCCAGTTTTCACTTCTCACTTAATCTCTACCCAATGACACTTCAGCCTAGAGACACTCTAGTACCTGAGTATACCTACTCACTCCCTTTCAATCACACAATAGTGATATCAAACAATTACAAAAACAGTATGAAGAGACACTTCATACACACCTTGATCTTGCTTCACAACTTTGATCAAGGAACTCTTGCTTCACAGCTTCGAGTGAGACACATCCTAGAATCTACCTAACCAAAACAATCATCCACCAGACAATTGCTTGGATTACAAGTATTCCTAAACAGACTTTACAAGTGAAGACTAGCCTTCTTCACTTACAAATATGTCTACCTCAATGTATCAAAAGATACAAAGGGTGACTTACACACAAGGGACTCTCAACCCTAGACCTCTATTTTACACTTTGGCTTTTCCTGATGTGAGTGATCCTTTTCCCTTGCTTCTGCGCCTCCTTTTATAGCACTGCAGACTGGGCTTGGACTGTGCAGAAGTAACAAAAATTAGTTTTAACAAAATAAAACTAATTTCCACAATTCAAGGTGCTGCCCAATTAGGTCATGGCATGGTCAGCATTGCCTTGAATCTCTCCTGAGATAACTCAGGGGTCATAACAAGTCTCCTGAAATTTAGCCTGAGATAACAGAAAACCAACATGCCTGCACGACTGATGTCATACGATCAATGTCATGACATTCAGTATGACATCCATTCTTTTGCAGATTTTTCTTTACACCAGACCTGGCTTCACCCAATCTTCTGCAGAATAACATTATAAACAAGTATATTAAAGTTTCCTAAAAGGTCTCCAAGATCCTTTTATGAATACCAATACAATATGTTCTTGTTCCTAATAAATATCCTTGACATATTTACTGATGAGGTATTTTCAACATGGTCTCATCAATCCAAACCAATTCTGTCAAGAGATATATACTAGCAGCTCCTTCTATTGTCATGCAACGATGTTCTGCTTAAGACACATGACAACACACCTCACTCACTACCTGTGAGGAACTTCATTACAACTTAACCTGTTGTGGCTGCATACCTCACACTGCCTGTGAGGAACTAGGCTACTGCTAACCCATAGCAGTGCCTGTTGTGCCAGATAGCTATGTCATTACTTTGGTAATGACATCCATGACATCAGTCCTTTCTTTAACCTCTGCTAGCTCCTGCTTGCTCTTGCTGCACTCAACCTTGATGTCAGCCTTTGCTAGCTCCTGTTGCACATAGCTCATGCTGCACCAAATGTAATGATATGACAGCAGTTTTGTCATCAGTAGCTCCTGCTGCACATAGCTCCTGCTGCACCAAATGTAAACACATGACAACAATTCTGTCATCAGCTCCTGCTAGCTCCTACTGCACCACTACTCCTGCAGTTTCTCACACATGACAGTAGTTCTGTCATGACAGCAGATGGATGTCTTGATGGATGTCACGACATTCAGCATGACATTCACATTAACACACTCCACAACAGTTCTTTCACCAGCTTCTGCTTGCTTCTTTAGTGATGTCATAACTATGGTAATGACATCCTGCTTAACATTAGTGCAGAGTCATGTTTTACCACAATTTAGCCAATCATAGAACCATGGACAATTCTATATCATAGAACCATGGAACTATCAGTCTTAACTCGGGACATTACAACATACAATTGACCATGACTAAATACATCCTTTAGCAGGTATAAACCAACTACGTCTAACGATTGGCCTTGTGATTTGTTAATTTTCATAGCGAAAGAAACAATAATGGGAAATTGTCTTCTCACTAACTTAAATGGCCATGGTGATTGAGAGGGGGACAAAGACATTCTTGGAATATAAATGATGTTACCTATATTCTTTCCTGAAATGATCCTAGCTTCAATAACATGATTAGTCAACCTTGTAACTTGAGCCTTGTACCATTGCATAAACCTTCCGATTGATCTAAGTTTCTCATCAACATAATATTGGCACCAATTTTCAACTTTATAGAATGATTAGGCAATCCAGAAGTTTTAAGAGCATTTAGAAATTCAGCAGTTAAGTGCTCAAATGCATCAAAGTCGGTTGCTGTTGATCTATCAATAGAATGACTACTAAAGTATTCCCTTTCTTCTCCTAAAAGAAAGAAAAAAAAACAGACAAATGATTCAACAAATAAAAAATGAAGTCAAAAATGAAATTAGCATGAAAATAGCATGAAAACAACTTCACGACATGTATAGTACCTGGAAAAAGATCTGTGATAAATTGATTAATCTCATCGACAACTTCAATTGTTGAAGCCAAAATAGCACGACTTTGTAAAAAATTAGAGTCTTGGTAGTTATGAATGAGATCGGGATAGGTACTATCAACAATAGCCTTAATAGGATCTGAAAAAATTGAAATTAAAAACTCTGCAGGAATATTAATTTCAACATAACCATCATTAGGCTCACCCATGGTACCATCTCCAATTGATAAAATCCACTCAGAAAATATACGAACTTCTTCAATTTGATTTAAAGTTGTCCCACTTTGTAGGCGCATATTTTTTGTAAGTTTGAGGACTTTGCACTGATCCTAAATATAAGAAGCATTAATAGTTGAATGAATAATATCAGATCTACTACCTCTTGGAACAACGGGAAGGATTTGTCTAAAATCACCACCAAAAATAACTACTTTGCCTCCAAATAATTTATTTGCAGCCTGTGGAAATTCACTCATAATGTCTCTCAAGGATTTATCAAGAGCCTCAAAGCAAAATTTATTAGCCATCGGAGCCTCATCCCATATAATAAGATCTGTTATCTTTAAAAGCTTAGCAAGATCATCTTTTTTGTCAATGTTGCAAATTGATGAATGCAAAGTAGGGACATGATTCTTAAACCTAGAATGTGTTGTTCTTCCACCTGGTAACAACAGACTTACAATTCCACTTGATGCCACAGGCAATACAATTTTATGTTTAGAACGAATAGCAGCAGCGAGAGTGTTCCACATAAATGTTTTACCTGTTTCACCATAGC